GTGGCTGCAAGCGTCCCTGTGCCAGCTCCACACCACGAGCGCCTCCAAACCGGGGGATGTGGGAGTGCTGGCACATGGGATGACCTTGGGTAGCAGCGGGTGCTGTCGCTCTGTGTCTAAGTCCCCACTTCTGGGTGCTGTGCAGGGACAGGCCATCCCCAGCCCCGTGTCCCCCTCAGTGCCCAGGCAGCCGCGGGGCCATGCAGCACCGTGCCAGCGCAGCAGCCGCACACCCTGGGGCTCCCGGCAGGATCTCCTCGTGGGGTCCCCTCGGCACCTCGTGGTGATGGGGCCCCATTTCATTTCCGAGGCTGAGCCTTTGAACCTCTGTGCTGAACCAAAAGCTGCAGGAAGCCTGCTGGTGGTTTTTTTTCTTTTGAGGCCCGTGGTAGAGGCTCAGCATAAAGCAGGGAGCAGCAGCACCAGGAAACCACCATGCAGGGCTGGCTGTTGCCACCAGGTGTGAGCAATGGAGGAACAGCCCCACTGGGGCCCCGTTTGCAGCCTCGGCACCCCAGTGGGGATGGCTGGGATGGGGTACAGGAGACAGGGCCTGAGGGCTCTCACCTCGCCTGGTCTGGCTCTCCCGTATCAGGAAGGACCCGCTGTGGTTGCCTGGACCGAGCAGGAGCTCCTCCGCCTTCTGCCAGCTGACGCCCTCGTACAGCCACCTGCGCAGGCAGCGGGTGCTTGTGGAGCCTCTCCTGGCTGCTCAGGGACACCCAGAGCCCCAGGGCTCATCCTCCCTGGCCGGGGCCAGAGGGGACAGTTCGGGGTGCAGCAGCACACATCCTGGGGACACTCCAGCGCACTGTGCTGCCTCCCTGAGCCCCAGCGCTGCTCCCGGCCCAGGGAGAGAAATGAGCCAAGACATCCCAGCGCAGTGGCTGGGGTTTGGCCTTGGGGTGGGCCCAGATGTCTGCAGTGGGGCCATGTCCCCTGGGGCTCCCTCTGGAATGGACCCTTCTCAGCATTTACCTGTGCCTGACCTTGGCCACACAGCTGCTGGGGACATAGCATTCCTTGCCAGACACCTCAGATGCCACCAGCCACCACTCCCCGTCCCTGCAGGAAGGGGGACAAGCCATCCTGAGGGGCTGAGGCTGCTGGGCACAGGGAGGGGACCCCCACGACAGATGCCACCATCATGGCCCCGCAGGCTGCACACTGGGAGTGCCTGCTTGGTGCAGGGACTTACATGGAGAGGACGCGGAGCTGCTCCCCCATCCTCAGGACGGTGGTCGCCCCCATGCCAGAGGGGAAGTCGCAGAGGGCCAGGAAGCTGCTGGGGGCTGCAGGGAAGGTGAGTGGGCTCAGAGCCGCCCCAGCACCACCCAGCCCCAGCTGGGCCAGGAGGACCGTGCACACCAGAGGATCCTGACCAAGCTGACCGCTGCCAGGCACTCACCTGTCTGTGTGGGCAGTGGGGGCTGCAT